AAGATTCCTCATTGGGATCTGAAGTTCATCTCCCTGCGTACCTGAAGGACCAATGGATGACCTGGAAACATTTAATGTCTTGTCTTTCAGGGTCTCTCTCACTCTTTGTGCCCAGGTAGGTTGAACTGATTTGTCTACACCAGGGGCAGAGGGAGACTCAACAGCTTTAGATAAGGGAGAGGAAGCCACATTCTGAGTATTCCTTGTATCAGAGGCAGATCCCACTGTATTGGTTAATGAGGAGGAGGTACCCTGAGATACACCCTGAGGTACTCTCTGTTCCTGAGAATTTTGATGCATGTTATTTCTCTCTTCCTCTGTTAACATTACATCTGCATTTTCTTTTCCCCTTAGGTGAGCTGAGGAGATGCCTCTATGCATTGTCTTCTGTTGGGTTACTAATGGATTCTCTGTTTCCTGACTTGTGGATTCTCCTGCCCTCTCCAGAGAGTTCTGCTGCCTTGATGAGACTGTCTTCATTGTTCCCTTTTCCTTTGTCAGACTGCTATTATTCGTTGACCAAGCAATTCTCTGCACACTTCCTCCCATCCCTCCCATCCCACCTTGTGATCCTGATTGTCTCCAATCCCACCTTCCAATTTCCTTTCCTTGTGTAACTTGCCCCATAACCGGGCGTGTGTATGGGTACCCTCTACCGTCCGCAGTCCCAAAATTTTAGAGCCTGATTTCCAATGCCAAAGGGGGTCTGGGAAATACTCAGGGCCCCGCTTAGGAATGCTGTTTTTTTTTTTTTTTTTTTTTTTTTTTTTTTTTTTTTGGGTTAAGGCCCATGTGCAAGGCCTCTATCCTGGTGTAGCATACACCAGTCAACATTCAGATCAAACAGATTGAATACACGATGAGCAATATGCTAATGMACACCACTCAAGAAGGAGAGAAGAGAAGAGATAACGAAACCGAGCGCAGGTAAATTCGAAAAATAAAACATGAAGCACATGAATCGAGCGAAAAGACCCAACACCGTGTTTCTGCCGGTCGCCCGTCCGGCGTCGTCAGGGGTCGTAATACCTAGCGCAAGTAACAACAGATAGGCTACAGACTTATATACCTACCTAAGTAGTAAGGTCCTAAGTCTAGAAACAACGAAAATGTAAGTGCGACAAGGCCTACCGGTTTACTTGGAAAAGACCAAATTCATCTAATCTGATAATCAGCCTAGAAACATCGAAAGTCGGCTAAGTAAACCAGGCTCTGCATATACTGAATATAATCAAGAACCGGGTCCACGGTTCAAGTCTCGTTAGCTAAAAGCAACACTGTCCTATGCTACAAGTGTCGTATATATCTTCCGGTCAAAACCAAGAGATCACCAGTTCAAACCAGTGCAGTACCGAGGCAAGTACACTATTCAAAAGCTACACCGAAAAATGTCCGTGTCATGTTATACTCACATTTTCCAATTAGTGAAGCACTGGACCCAAGGCCTCCAGCAGTTATTCATCCTAGCAGAAAAGTTTATTAGACACTGGTCAAAATAGCAGTCCGAAAAATCTCTAATTCCTAATTCGAACTTAAGCGTAAGCAAAAAGCAAGCCTCGGCCCCTGGCATAGTTGTCAGTGCTCTTGCTCTATGTAAGCAGGCAGTGATCACAGACATCTTCTGTTGTTTGTCGGAATATGAATAAAAATCCTGCAGGTTCTGGAACACCAGCCCTTGTTCAATCATGTGTCGTTCGTTTTTATGGAAAGCTGCGCATAACACTCTGCAGGGTTGGCGAAACACTTTAATAACACAACCCAGGAAGTCCCATGATTCGTGTGTGCTTGTCAGTTCCAGGACTAGGTTCCTGTCATAGCAGTTTCTAAATAATGCTATTCTCCTCTCAGCCAACATCTTGGAATAGGTCGATCCCATCTGAAATTTAGAAAGAATAGACACGTCGTCTACAAGTCTCATCCCGAAAAGTAACCGTCGTTCGCTACCCAGATGTTGAAGAAACTCATGTTCATTGTATGCGCATAGCAAGCAAGCCAGAGCCGGGCTAGACGGTTTACCCATAGGTATGCCTACCTTCTGCTGAAGAATGACCTCCATAGCCATTATATAAGTATTATCTAAATCAAATACTACCATCTTCAAGAGGGAAGAAAACTTAATACGCCGAAACCCAGCTGGGAACCCAGCTGGGACCGTTTTACGTCTACCCAACAGGCCACCTTTACCTCTGATTTTCACAAACACGTCAGATATGCCTTTCTCGTCAGTCATACAAATCAACCACTCAACTGCCTTAATGATTGACGCGTGAGGTAATGCAGTAAACATCTCTTTTACATCGAAGCTTGAGGCGATGACCTCCTCCCCTGTCTTGATGGAGTCGTTAAAGGAGGTAAGTCGTCTGATCATATCACCAGGGCTCTTCAGATTGAAATGAGATTCTTCTGGAAGTCCCCAAAGCAGTTGATTAACAAATTTGAAACCGTTCTGCTCAAGCGTACCAGAGGGTCAGCGAAAGATGGACAAATCGGTCTCCACTTAGCGGCATCCTTGTGTTTCAGAATCCCAAAGGTCATACCCAGTTCACCCTGATGATTAAACGAAACAGATTTATGAAAACCAGCTTTCGAAAACTTTTTACGGATATCACTAATAACCTGTGACTCGTCTCGTTCATCCAAGAAAAAAACTTTATTTTTGATAAACAGCGTTTCCATCCCCTTCCTATAAATTGTCGGACAGCAGACATAAGAATCACCAGGGTTATGGTCAATATGACAGATGATCAAATCCTTCAGTTTGTGCTTAAGAGCCAACACTTCAACCATACCATCTGCCACCACCGGACTCGGCACAACATTATGAGTGAAACAATTCCGAAGATTGCGGTCAGAGACATAAAAAATATTGGTGTCATTCTGGACGCTTTTCAGACCCTCAAGTATGTGGTTCCTAAGTTTTGCAATCTTATTCTGAAATCCGGGGAATAAGACATTCTTCCCATTTTTCGTGATCCTGGACACCCAATCAACTTCGCTAAACCTGAAAGAAATATGTCCGTCTATTTTTGGAAAGTTAGACTGTCGACAGGTGCATTCGCAGTTTTCTTGTCGCACGAAGGTCCGAAAATTGTAAAGAACATTTCCTACCGTCTTATTTTTTGTCCAAACAACCCTCAGTTTCCTACACACAATCTGTTTAACGGGTCCCTAATTGAAGAATTCCGAATAGTAGAAAAACATAGATTCCTAATACGTTGCTTTGACAGAGTAGCATCAAACGGAACACGGACAGTAGTTGTAATCCTAATCTTGATATCAAACTTATTTTTCAGAACTCGGGCTATTGTCGACCGCAGCTTTGCTCTGGTTTCGCTTTTGGAAAAACATCTAACGCAGTTGTACAGACGTACAAGCCTATTGAGCGGCTCGCGATACAGTTCCTTACACGCCGATGCGTGTTTCAAAAGTTTACCCTGACTGCTTTTGTCTTTCTCGAAACGCGAGCAGAACCTAAAAAAGGTCTCGAATACCAACACAGCGCCAGATACAAGTAACCCCTTGCTGTGTCGCAGCAACTCGGTCTTGCCTCCACATCTCACCACAGACGATCCATAGCATCTCTTAGTAATCTTCCATTTCTAAGTCATCAGATCGCCGCCTAAACATTTAATCGTAATAACATTAACACGATTTTTAAAACATGCATCTAGGATGCATCGGAGGCTGGTAGACACAACACCTTCATTAGGTTGGAACAGGAGGAATGATTTCGCCTCATGGTTGACTTTCGATCGACCAGTTGTCAAGCAAGTACCTTGTCGTTCCCTTTCCTTTTTACCCGCTCTCTTCCTTTTCCCTCGCAGTCTGCCGCGAGTCGAAATGGAGTTCAAGAAAGGACTGAAAGTACGAATAAAAAACGACTCGATCTCCAGTAACCGATCCGAGCAGGAAACAACAACCGGTATGGCCACATAACTTCCGATCTTCTCGCATCGTAACCAACGGTATAATCGATGATTTCTAGCGTTGGTGTTAAGAGGTGCATGCGTACGACAAAGGTGCTCGTTCCATCTACAACTCAAAGAACGGGATGTACATCCTATGTACATGTGTCTGCACCAAGGGGATACTAGCACGTAAATCAGAGGTCCAGGTCAGGAGATGAAATCATAGTTAATAGAACATCAATAACGAAGGAATGAGATCAGTTTGTCGCACCACGAAAATTGCCGAAATAGAATCAAGGAGATCACCGTTAATCTGAACATGTTATCAATCTTACCGTCACGTTGAAGATATCGACAATCGCCTGCCTTCCTATATGCTAGTGCCAAATCGCAAAGTTCTCCCACACTCGGTGGCCGGTCCTAACAGCCAGTCGACGTGCCATCATCTTCGCCCTCATCAGGTTCGTTGCCTCCGGCCAGATCTTTCGATCCCCCCGAATCCTCTGTCACCTCGATAATGTCGGTCGGAGGTGGGTCGTTACGTTTTCCGAATGCGTGATCCGTATAAATGTCGGCAATATCAGCCGCGGAGGTTTTGATCGTGATGTATTGCAACTTCTCTTCATCGCATAGTTGTTCGATCTCCCTTTTCTTCAGTTTCGACAATTCGGTGTAAACTCTTTTCCTGACATCGTCGCGTCCTTCATTCTTCAATTTAACGAACCGAACTTCAAGTTGTCCCCTCTTACTTCCTTCCCCAGTCTTGGTCGGACTTGAAGCCTTGCTTAACCGGATACGCAAGTTGGAAGGTGGTGACATGCTCTTGCATAGGATCCTCTTCCTCTTGGAGCTAGACGGAGTAACATTCGCGGAGCTGAACCTGGCAATCCTCTCCTTCAGCGCCTGGACTTCACGTTGGGTCATGTCCCTATCATCGTGTAGTCTTCGGTATGCTTCGGCCAGCTTGACGTATTCACCAGGAGTAGGTGCTGCCAATGGCGTTGGACTCGTAATAGCCGCCGGCGCGCCGCTCCCGACGCAGCCTTAGTAGCCTTGGTGAGGTCGCTCATCTGCTCCTTCAATTTGATAACGTCTTGAATCAGGTGTTGATTGTCCATACGTAGAGCTGCCAATTCTTGCTCCGATTGGTGTGGTCGACATGATTATCGTTGCATCTCGGCCATGGCTTCCTTCAGTCTCACAATTTCTTCGTCCTTCTCCCGGAGTACCTCGTCAACTTGATTGGTCTTCGCAACAGCTTCGGTTCGTTGCCGGACTTCTGTCGTCGCCGCAGCCACAAGTCGTTCGCCGTCAACAACTTTCCTCCCTAGAACTTCTTCGCAAACACTTCTCATCTGACTTTGCACCATTAACTCAATACTCGCCTTGAACTCCTCTTTCTCCTTAGCTTCAGCTAGTCGCTTTTCATCCTCCTCTCTCTTCCTTCTATCATCCTCCTCCTTCTTGATAGCGATTTCCTTCTCTTTCTTGATCCGCTCTCTCTCCTGCATCTCTTCAGACATCCAGTTCCACATTTTCTCAACTTTGTCACTCTTATCGTAACGATCGGTATTCCAAGGCCGTCGATAATTGTTGTTGTACCCACCATATCCGTTGCCATATCCTCCGTTATACTCATTACTGCTATTCCCAAAAGTTTGGTTACGAACATCATTGGACGGCGGTTGATAGGGTACAATCGCGCTAGGAGCGGAAGGAGCACTAGCAGATCCTGAAGTTGACGCTTGGTTGCCATTACTCTGTCTGGCTTGCTGTTCCATATCTCTCATGCGTGTGCGGCAGTCGCGAATGAAATGCCCAGGACGTCTGCAGTAATGGCAAACCGGTCGTTCCATCGGACAGATCCCAAAAGAAAAATAAATAGAGAACAGAGATGGAGTGCAGAGAGGGAGTACAGCAGGACGGGTGTAGGAGGGGGAGGGGGAGGGGAAAGTCGCATTCACACAGCCGTAGTACTATTGCTACGTCGGTTCACGCGTTGACTAATGTAGCATACATCAGTCAGCATTCAGATCAAACAGATCGAATACACGATGAGCAATATGCTAATGAACACCACTCAAGAAGGAGAGAAGAGAAGAGATAACGAAACCGAGCGCAGGTAAATTCGAAAAATAAAACATGAAGCACATGAATCGAGCGAAAAGACCCAACACCGTGTTTCTGCCGGTCGCCCGTCCGGCGTCGTCAGGGGTCGTAATACCTAGCGCAAGTAACAACAGATAGGCTACAAACTTATATACCTACCTAAGTAGTAAGGTTCTAAGTCTAGAAACAACGAAAATGTAAGCGCGACAAGGCCTACCGGTTTACTTGGAAAAGACCAAATTCATCTAATCTGATAATCAGCCTAGAAACATCGAAAGTCGGCTAAGTAAACCAGGCTTTGCATATACTGAATATAATAAAGAACCGAGTCCACGGTTCAAGTCTCGTTAGCTAAAAGCAACACTGTCCTGGTGGTGGTAAGAGAACCACCGAGATGGAGGCTTTGCCTGGCGGGTCGCTCCATCTATTGGTGGGGAGCATCAACTGCTGGAAACCGGTGTGAGGAAACCCGGGGAGGGGTCGCCTGCCGCTCGCTGAAGCCAAGGGCAACAACGCCTGTCACTCGTTGCGCCCGCTTCCGAGGTCCTCAGCGACCAGCAGGGGAGTGGGGGGGTTGAAATGCCTGCTGCGAATGCACTATGCGAATGATCTCCCAATGAGTAGAGAGTCCCTGATCAACCAATGAGTGGCCATTGCCTGATCGGCCAATGGGAAGAGAGTGCAAGACCATCTCATCAGTGGCTGCTATTTGATTAGCCAATGAGTACATGCTGCCTGATCTCTCAATCAAAGGCCGCTACTTGATCTGCGAATGAGAGGCTGCTGCCTGACCCGCCAATGAGCGGCTGCTGCCTGACCCGCCAATGAGAGGCTGCTGCCTGAAGTGATCTGCACTATCATTTACTCTCTTTTCACCCTCACTTACCTGCGCCGTCTCTCTCGCCGCTCTGGAAGCTGAGTAACGAGATCTATTTCGAAATCATATGATAAAAGTGTGATCCTTGAGCTAAATAAATAAATAAACAAATAAATAAATAAATAATTTCAGGGAGAGTAATTAGCGAGCCAGTCCGCTGGCTTGGTTCCAAGCGAACCAATCAAGTGTGAGCTGCAAACTGCAAATTCAGTTTAAACACACCAATCAAGTGTAAACAGTGTGTCAACTCACGGGCTTTGTTCCTGGTATTCCAGGGAGAGCCCACTGCAATAGTCATCTTCACGCCTTCTCTTCTCTCCCAGATACTACCCTCGGGTTCTCATTCAATCCACATGTTCCCAGTCTCCCCATCCAACTGTTCAACCTCACTCGAAATGGAAAAGACCCTCTTTTTTTTATCAAAGTGGCACATGTGGGATCGAGCGCTATGATGTCGCGGCATTCCCAGAATCAAAATCCCAACGGTCAATACCTTTATTTTCAAGTCCCCCTTACCTGCGCGAAACCCGATCTTCATTTGGAAGCTCAAGCTACAAGTCACGAGCGTTTGTTATACATCATCTTGAGTTTCAACCGAAACTCTACTCGTTTTCTGAGATCTTACAGCAAATAGTTTTTAGAAAGGTCAATTGTGGTGACCAGACTTCTTACTCTGCAGCCTCTCTCTCTCTCTCTCTCTCTCTCTCTCTCTCTCTCTCTCTCTCTCTCTCTCTCTCGCGCGCGCGCGCGCGCGCGCGCACACACACACACACACACACACACACACACACACACACTGCGCAGTCTCTCTCTCACTGCACTCACTGTGCAGTCCCTCTCTCACACACTCTGTCACACTTTCTCTCTCACTGTCACACTCTCCCTCTCTCAGACACTCTCTCACTGTCACACTCTCCCTCTCTCACACACTCTGCGCAGTCTCTCTCTCACT